CATGCATGTACTATATAGCCTGTTTCTTTAAATCGTTCATTAAATGAAATTAAAGTAAGTCATCTTTAAAAACTCAAATTACAAAGTCGCATAAAAATAATTCGCAATATTAACACCTACATTTATTAAAGTATACGTAATATGTAAAATACTTGTCGTTACAATTTTGACTAAATATAGGCAATATAACACAGTAGATTATTAATATTTGACTTTATTTGAGGTCAGCCAAAGTTGTCGAGAAAAAGTAATGGTAAACATTCTAAAAAAGAAATTGAATTTCTTAGCGCACAAGCCGCTACTGTCATTTGCATATACTCACGTGTTCTGTTGCAATATGTGAAAACATTACGGTGTTAGTAGTAGGTCTATGGTTATCTATGCAAATTGGAAAGCTTTAAGAATATCGTTGCGGAGTTTCATATACTGTACCTCGAATTTTCCCGTCTTTTTCTTTGCAACACTCGACGTTTGACGAAGTTAGTTCAGAAAACGAATTTTTAACTACGGTTGTAATCCGTATATACACGCGTATATGTACATATTTTGCATGTGTATTATTGTTATTAATTAATATGCAATATATACTATTTTCTGGACTGTACAATTGATCATCTTAAATTGTATTGTCATTATTTTTTAGTAATAAAATGCCAGTTAGGGGAAGTTTTCAGAAGAAGAGCTTAAAAATAATCCGCATTTTAGCAAATAATAAAGACGGCCTTATTAAAACAATTTAGAATTGAAATATTTTGTATTTCGTAGTGTATTACCGTGTATATTTTCTCTTATTATGGTCATAAAGTTTTGATAATTTAAGTAATATTAAGCAAAATTATACATTGCCGCGTAACTTGAAGATTGATCGAATGCTAAGTGTCATGTCGGGAACACGTTTGCGTGACATTGCGTGTTAACGTGAAATTAAAACGCATCGAGCTTTTGTTCAAACTGAGAAAGCTTAAAGCATAGTATAAGATAGCGTAAGTTCAATTGCAGTAAGGAAATATAAAATATTTGATATAGAAAATGAAATAACATCGTTACAGTCATTAGTAAACGTTGAAACATAGGTATGTTCAAATATTTCAAAAATATGTTGAAATTTTTCAAGATTTCAAGGATTTCAGGATCTTCAAATATCGTCTACTGATATTATATTTACATTACACGTGATATAATTATACATAACATAAGATCATTTTTAACACTTTTCATAATTATAACATATATTATAAAACACTAAACGTACCACAACCGGTCAAATGACCGGTTCTAAAATTCAGCTTAAAATTCTGCATTTTCTTTCGTTCATTTTACTTCATATCGACTTCTACATTATCCGATTAATCAGTTTTTCAGTTTTTATCTCTTTTTTTAGTTCTGTGTCCACTAAGAAAAATTTCTTGTCTAACTTGTTTACCGTTATCTTATAATCTATTAATTGACTAGTTACGGTAAAAATAGATACATACAAAAAGTGTCGGAACGTTTAGTGTTAATAAACTATAAATAAAATAAGGGCTTACTTGCACATATGCTTTGCACTAAATAAAGTATATTTTCAAATATAAGATGAAACGGTGTTTTACTTTGAGTAAATAATTTTCAAACAGTGCAAGCTATATTGGGTGTTACAGAATTAATTAGTGTTTCCCTTCAAATAATTCTGGATGGAACGGATTTTTTCTAATTTTCAAGAAAATTATTAAGTTCTTTCAGACATGAATTTACATAGATTAATTTGTTTAGATTACATTGCAGGAAACAAAATAAATTACTGACAACTAGGTATAGTATTACTATAAATACTGCAAATATGCTCCCATAACAGAAAATAAAAATGTAATAAAAGATACAAAAAAGGAAGAGGTAATGTTAAACTTGACATTTAGTATGTTAAAGTGTATTCCTTTGTTACACTAATATAATAATTGTGTGTATTTTTTTATATTCACATTTCACCTGTCTAACAATGCGATTATAACTTCTACCTAGAATGTTCTAGGTTTTGTCATTAAGGCAACCGTATTCAATAAAACGTCAGAATTTTCTGATTCATTACTTTTAGATTTCTTCTTGACCAAATGAAAACCCATTACGTGTTTTCTAAATAGTGGGGACCAACCTCCTCCATTTAGCGATCATATCTCGATACTGTTTGGGGAAGTCGTTGACCAATATTTTAACGTAGAAGACAGGTAATGTAGTTTATGTAGGGTATCGTGTCAGAACTTAAACGCGCAAATATTAGGTTTATTTTTAAAAAATGCAGGAGCATAGTTTTCATATAACTCAAATAGTTAAAAAAATGAAGTAAGATGCAAACAAAATTTTGACTAATAATAAGATTATTTTCTAGGTCGTTAAGGTGATCGACATTTTCTCTTGAAAATATATTTCTTTTTTACTTAATTTTGTATCGGATATTAAATATTACATTTTGGATCATTAAATATTGAGTTGTAGCAATAAAATTAATATTGAGCATCCAATACGTGACCATTTCCCAATGTGGTATTAGAATACACACGGTGTTAGGGAAGAGATCTAAAACTTTATAAATTCATTTTATATTACTTTCCAAAAGGAATAAAAAATATTCATTAACATGAGCTCCAAAATCAACTCTTTCGATGAAAGAAGTATATCTGCTGATAGGTACAGAGTGTTCCTAAACTATTGCGATAGGGCGTATACAACTCACTAAACTGGATAAAAAACCCCAATAGGCATAAGCCAAAAACTCTATAGTTTTCGAGATGAAAATAGGTTTTGTTTGAAAAAACAATGTATGAGGGCCGAATCAAGAACACCGATTTTATCTCGAAAAATATTAGTGATACGAAGAAATGTGTCAAACAAAAGATATACACGGTATGAAATACTATGATATATGTTATGGTAGGAGGAGGTATGTAACCGTAACGTTTGCTTGTAAGGTCCAGGTAAAGTCATGTTACAATTCTTGAATAGTGTTCTATACTTCTTATTCCATATTTTTGAAACACACATTCAGACGTTTCCAAACCATGGAAATGAAAGTTTTCGCTTAAAGCGTTAACAAGGTATCGACAGCCAGAGTTGGTTCGTCGGTAGAGACGGTGGCCGACGGACAAGTCGGACTCATCACTTGTCAACAACAGGGCAAGTGAATTCTCGGTTGAGCAACTGTGACGCCTTAGTTTCGACAGATTCTGCGTAGTGACACAACCTTCGGATGTGGTGGAGCGAGTGAAACGCCTGTAGGCTCCCATAAGAACACATGGGAGAGTAAAGGAAGGTAGCGAATACGATAACTGCGTTTGAATCCACGACTCGATCGATAGACGAAGTCGTTCGCATTTTCAGATCGGAAACCCCACAGTCTAATAAACAAGGACCCTGAATATTGCGTTCCTTTATTCGCAGGCGGTCGGCACCATTACTACCGACGAACCAGCAACTTTGAATTTTGATATCTCCATAATGGTTTAGGTGAACAATTTCATTCTTATAGTTTGGAAACGTCTGTATGTTGACTTCAAAAGTATGGAATAGAAACCATAGAGTTTTATTTAAGAACTGTGACCGGATCTTCGCAAGACGTTTCAATATCTCGTCACGGTCAGATACCTCCCACCGTAATATGTAGTATTTCAGACTCTGTGGCTTTTATTTGAGACATTTGTTCGCATCACTAATACTTTTTGAGATAATTCGGTGTTCTTGATTCGAACCCCATACGTTTTTTTCAAGTGAAACCTATCTTTATCTTGGAAAATATTGAGTTTTGGACCTATGTTCACTGAGTTTTTTTTATTCAGTTTAGTGAGATGTATACTCCCTATCATTTGTGCGCAATAATTTACAAACACCTAGCATACGTGTATCGGTATGCAATTATGTATTAAATATTTTTTGTTCGTGTTAGTGCTAATCTTTTGTTTCATACAATTTTAAATAGATTACCTTCAATCAGTTCTTTTGTTTATACGCTTAACAGGGACATTCACGATTTCTGATACCTAATAAATGCCTGAAAGAGTTTATTTTAAGAATTGCATGAGTTAAATATTTCTTGCGTAGTCAGTGCTCTTTCAACTTTTTTTCCTGCACTTCGCATGCATTTGCTTTATGTGTAAAATGTGATTCTACAATTTCGATTTAGGAGGGATTGATATAAAGATTCTGCGGCAAAATTCATCTTGAGTTTGAGAAGCAGATCAAAATTTTTTATTTATCAAAATGTTATTGTTTTGATTTTACACCATAAGACTTACTTCTTTAGAAAAATACGAACGGCACTGTTTGCTTCTTGTAAAGTATGAGAAACAATTCAATTTTTATTTTATACATTTTTTAATATCTTCTATAGTTTTGAAAATACATAGGGAAATGCAATAATAGATGTGTACATCCATCCACGAGATGATTTCGCCCTGAGGAAATAAAATTGGCTAAAAGACGTTGTCCAATAATTGTTTTAAGGATTTCATACAAATCTGTTTTTGAAAAATTAGAATTTTCGAGTTAAATGTTTTAACGTACTCTTGTCAGTAAAGCAAGTAGGGCTCAGCAAACATACAAAATTTTGATTTATGTAAAAGTTTAGAGTCAGTTAATCTTTATGTGAAAATAATAATATTGATAATAGCTTTAGGTACTTAGAATGAGATTTTTCTTCAAAATAACATGTATATTCGTATTATACGAAATATGTAAGTAGAATTTTATGACTCATATAACATTATCATATTTAATAATACACGGAACAAAATTAATTTCTTAAATATTCCGTATAAAGTTCAGACAAAATTTTGTGGAAACGGTTTATCAATACAGTATCACTCTACGTCAGAGGTGTCGAATTATGTATGTGTGTACCTTCTCTTAAACCAGTGACTCTTTATCAACGTTTCTCTACTACCTCTACTCTAGGAACTGCGCCTCAGACTGTGTATGTAGCAGTTCTATGTAGTGTTCAATACAAGCAAGTGAAAGTAGATATTATGAAGCTTGCAACATCCCAAGTAAAAGGAGAGTCATTATGAAGCTTGCAATATCCCCGTTAACCATTATCGATATAATATAGGAAAAACACCGTTTTATGGTGCATATAGGAATATCTGTTTTTGTTTTCACATTTTAACCGTTTGCAAACATTATAATAGTGAGTTCCAAACAAAGGAATCACGCAATCAAGCGCTTTGACACTTAACTTTCAATAATATTTACGCATCATGAATTCGCACCTGGTATATACTGGGCAATCAGTTATCTTGCGCCATAGGTTCAAGCCATTCTCTAGTAGGTCAATTTTTTATTTCGGCTATGTGTGGGCTTAATTTTTCGGGGTATAACTACAGGCGGAGGAATGAAGACCATCTCCCGACTATATTTATATTTGTCTGCCTCTTTGGACTACGCAAATATTTATATTTAATTTTCACTTATTAATGCGTATTACAGAACATAAAAGACATGAATATTGTTTAAAAAATAAACTTTTCGCCCTGTTTGTTCTGAAAATGAATGGGTTGACGAAACACTTTTAACTTTAATTCAAAAGCATGTAACTTATAGGAGGGGGTACAAGAATCTTTATAAATATTTTGGATCTTAACTTTCGAGTTGCCAAAAATTCGTCCCGTAAACGTTTTCTCTACGCAAAGTAAAACTATAAATAAAAGATCAATCCAATCAGACCATAAAAGTTTTAGAAATTACAAGGAGTGGCAGTAAAATGAAAAACTTTTTTGCCAAAACGTCCAGGAAGACGAGAACATAGATATTGTTTACTACGAAAATGAACTTATATATATCTAGGCTTATCTGATTTCTTCCAATCTGACCTGAGAAGGTTGGTCTTCTACTTAGGTGCATGCATTTATAATATATATATATCAGGTGCTGGCTCGAGACCGTCCGATCTATTCTAACTAGAGCCGTGCCCAAAACTTTCGGGTACCCGCTAGGGGTGTGCGAATATTCGACGTATCGGACTCGAATCTGGTCGATAAAGATTGAGCGAGCTCGAGCCAAGTATGTACACACCTACTTACCCGAGACATTCGAACATTCGAACTTTTCAGCTGTATCGAGCGGTTCGATCTCGTCAGGTATAGCGCCAGGGATCGTCCGTTACACTCGTATTAGGTCGACAAATGAGTTTGTTCGACGTATTCGAGGTTTTATTTGTGGAGAGTCTATAAAAATTATGCGTAAACAACATTGTAGCGTGATTCTACACCTCCAGATCGGTGCAGATTTGATAACAAATGTCTGTGCAAAAGTGACTTTGACCTTGAAATTCAAGGTTTATTACTGCAATGTATTCTACTCATTACGAGGAAAAAATCTCAAAGGAACCAGGGGTCGAAACTCAACCGCTTTTCTGAAAAAAAGGTTTAATAAATTCTACAGATTGTTTTATGCATAATGTTGTTATATTTTGAGGTCAGATACAGTGAAAATGGAACACATGCACCGTTGTAGCAAATGGAGACCGTAGAATTACCATTACGTATCCCCATTTCCTGTTAATTCAAACTTTTCCTCTTTAACTTTTCTTCTTTACTGCTTGGTTCATTCGCATAAATATTCCGCGCATCGTATTAGGTTCATTTTACCGAACGTAGAATAATCCACGGTTAGCGGTTTTCTATTAGCTCATATTAAAATAGAGAGCTTACAATGAAAACAGTGAAAACCTAGATAAATTAATACAATACATTAATTTGCATTTGGAGGCTTAAAAGATAAAAAGAGATTACTGAGAATTTATGTATCAGTAATTAAGCAAATACAACTCTCTACACAGAAATAAGAAATCAATTTCAACAGAACTGTTGATAACATACGAAGCGTGATTAAAAAGTTCCGGAAATTTTTATGTATTTTAAAAACTATTTGTTTATTCATCAGATATTATATTCTCCCCTTCAATGTAGCTTCCACTAAATACAGGGCGTTTGGAAATTGTTGCGCACAAATCAAGGGGCGTGTACAACTCAATAAATTGAGTAAAAAGCCCCGCACATTAGACAAAAGTTACATAATGTGAAATATAACATATCAGAGCGAGAGGTATTTGACAATGCGATTACCTTGAAACGTCTTACAAAAGCATATCACAATACTTAAATAGAATCCTACGATTTCTATTCCATATTTCTGAAACTGACATTCAGACATTTCCAAATCATAGAAATAAAATTTCTCGTGTAAGCCATTATCAAGATTTCAGTATCGAAAATTGTTAGTTTGCGCGATAGGTATCGTAGTCGACGAACAATCGGACTCTCGACACTTTCGGTTAGAAGGGCAGGGGCGTGCTCGGTTAAGTAATCGTAATGCCTCAGTTTCGATAAGATTAACTGTGAATCCACGACCCGATCGACAAACGTCCTTTGTTCGATAGACGATAAACACATTATTTAAAAAATAAATTCAAATAGTTACCGTGTAAACAGCGTTTTAATAGATGTGCGAGCAAAGTTGCAAAAAATCTTACTTCCTCTCCAATCTCAATGAGTGTTGAAATCAACAATTTGTGCAACCTTTTTTCTTTTCTTAAAAGTGCTAACGGAGTTTGGTTTCTAAAATATTATTAAAAAGCAAAGGATTAATGGTTCTAACAATTAACCCTTTGTGATCCGAAGCATTCTTACTTTTCTATCTTAAAACTTGTATCAGTGTTGTTTCATTCAATTACAGTTTAACATGGCGCTATAATCATTTATTTAAAAACATTTGGGAGGCACTAAAATTGTATTTATATGGTATAACTATGATATTACGAATAATTATAGTAGAGATCGGTAAAATACTTCGGGATAAAATTGAAATCAAATTTAATGTCGATTCTACTTCGACGTAGAACCGCAAAGGATTAACCCTTTGCACTCGGAAGTATTTCGTCAGAAATACTTAACATTTCTTGACTAGACAGACAATATTTTTTTAAATTAACTCAAAGAGAAATCGCAAGTGAATTGAGAAACGAAGATCTTTTAGCCTAATATTTCACACGCCGATGCATTATGTACAGTTCAATGTTGAATATCAAATTTTATAGTTTTACTGCATCAAATCAAGTGGTGACTGAGAGTCACCTTTCGAGTGCAAAGGGTTAAGTATATAATTATGTGGATGCGATCAATAATTCGCGAAATAGCTGTATAAAATAAGTTCTATATATTGTTTCTGCATAGAAAAAATTGATCATTGAAAATATCCGAAATCTAATCTCTTCATTTTCTTTTAGCACTACATGCTCCATGTAACGAAGATTCTGAATGCATCGATGGTGCACATTGCATTCAACGGAATAATACAACGTCTGGAAAACGTTGTTACTGTCAGGATGGATATGATGAAGATGGTCTTCTAGCGTGTAATGGTATGTTGTATTTGGTTTTGGCAATATAGCAGAATTTTTGCTGTTGCGCCGATTTTCATAAAATTACTAAATGTTGTAGAAATGCACATTTTAAACAATTCTTTCCTCCGATAAAAATAGTAAACTCTTTTAGTTCCTGAGATAATCGCGAGAAACGTTCGCTATCAGTACGTTTAATTCTATTTACATGTGTGTCTGTGAGATAGCTATAAGCATAGTCGCACGTTTGTCGCTCAGACTTTCGACCCTTACGGATTTCACAAATACCATGTTGCTCAGCGGAAGAGCTCTAAAACGAATCCAGGTCGGAGTAGTCGAAATGGCAGGGTGGTCTGCCCATTATCTCACGTATTTACGGCTCTAGTTTGCGATTTTCTGAAACGGTCACACACGCTGATTCTGTTGCGTCATATGAAGCTCACAGCGAAAGAACCCTCTTGGCCCTGTCCTTGTTCCAGTCAATTGCAGTAATTTCCTACATTGTTTCATGCATATAGAAATGAGTTTTATTCACCTAGATCGGAGGTGTTAAGAACTGCCTCCTCTCAATCTAGTAACTCTCGACCACCGTTCTCTTACTACTTCTGCTCCTAGAAACTGTCCAAGATTGTGTTATGCAGGCGAGAAGTTCTAAGAGAGCTCGTGAGATCCAAATTTCACACCCCTAATTTAGATGATAGAAATTGATAAGTAGCGTTGTATTTTACGGGGTAGAGGTGCCCAAAAACAAATGAAGGACGCCTTTACTTCCTTAATCAACAAAAAGAAAAACAGAAACAACGATGAAAAACTATACTAAAAGAAATAGATTCCCACGTAGCGACAGTATCTCAAGTATCAGTGAAATTGGAGACGGTCAAATTGCGGCAACTATGACATTCTCCAGATCCATGTTCGAATATATAACCCAGGCGTTAAATATTAATTTACTGTTGTTCCTTGTTGCCAGAAAGTAAAAAAGACACTAAGCGAATTCCATAGAAGACATTATATTATTATAAAACAGCAAAATTTGTTGGGTGACCGCATTAACGGTAACTAATTTTTCGTGGAACAGCCTTTATATAGTGCGGCCATCACTGCAATCTATTCAACGGATCACTGATGTTGATCACTAGAGCGAGAACTGTTGTATTAGTCACATTTGTATAGGTACAGTTCAATATATTGCACCGAAGGTTTTTTAACGATATCTCAAAAACTAATAAATAAATAAATAAATACCCGAAGTCAAATTTTAGATCGATCGGCCATCGGTAACATTCGAAAGAATGCCGGTTACATTTTCCAATTTAATATTACGTGGGCTTTATGAGAATATAGAATGTAGACGAAGCACTCTCACTTTGTAGAATATAATGTTGCTCATACTAATTTCTGTTATCTATTGTAAGTAGGAATCATTTCTACATGCATGTACGAAACAACGTAGGAAACTACCAGGATTGACGAGAACTATTGAAGCTTTTCTAGAGGGTATGTGGAACCAGAGATACCTGATATAAATCGCCACCGGAGCGACGAACGTGCGGCTATGTTTGTGGCCGTCTTACAGCACACTCATGCATATAGAATTCAATGTAGCGATAACGAAAGTTTTTCACGATTATGTATCTCGGAAAATAAAAAAGTGGAATACTTTTGTCAAAGGAAAGAGTTTTTTAATATGTGCATTTCTACAACATTTCATTAATTTTATGAAAATCAATGCTGCAGCTAGAATTCTGTAACAATACGATTAGATATAATATGTACTTTTAATATTTTATATGCTGAAAAAATAAGCAAGATTCCATAATTTTCTAAACGTTGTTTATGTTTTCCACAGGTAGTCCATCCATCTTTCCAGTTCACATGTTAATTTTATTAGCTGTTTTAAGTCTGTTAAAAGGAAATGTTATTTAAACAGATTACTTTGAGACATAAAATAATGGATTTCTCGAAAATACAATCTTGTACAATATAAAAAATTCTGAATTTTAAATTAAACATATGTCATGTAGCAGTAATAATAATAGGAAGTAATGCTTATTCATTGAAGCTCATCTTAATATTATATTCAAGAATTATATCTAAAAATAGAAGAAAGTATACAATTATTTATAACTAATATATTCTATTACATATGTTACATGATGCCTTTATAAATATATATATATCTTAAATTATATATTTAAATTATGAAACTGTATTTTTGGATACATTATTTGAAAACAGAACACGTGTAACGTAAACGCTCGTTCCTCAATTACATGTGCTTTAATTCTTAATTGCCTTGAAAGTTTATACTTACGTAAAGTTTAAATTATATTACATATCAAACATTATTCGACTATACAAGCAATACATTTCAAAATACTTCAGTATTGTAACATATCTATAATACAAGACTCTTATAATTTAAAAACATTCTAATGTCGTAACAAATTATAGTATACAGCATGTTTACTTTTTTATATTCTTCAAATTATAAAGATTTGAAAACTAGAAATGCTTTAAGCAGTTAAGAATTAAAACGATGATATACTAAAATCTATTATAGAATAACGTAAGAATGTAATCTATTAACCTTTTGCGGATGTGAATTTTTCCGAATGTTGAAAGTATTTTACACGTGATAGGAGACTATATAATGAAGACTTCAATATTAGGAGTAGCAAAGTAAATGCCATTTTATTCTTCTTTAAATAATAATATTAATTTTTTGTGAAAATACTAGCAAATCTCAGCTCTATAAATAAGGACACGATGCGCTTATTTGACGGAATTTATCTGCAAGGGGTTAAAATTTTGATCGCAGTATCATATCCATACCATTTTTACAGCACGAATAAGTACGCGTATATTCGTGAGTTGTGCGTATTATTTTTTCAAGTACCACGAAGTAAAAAGACTCCACAAATTGTTTGTTATGTTATTCTTGTTACAGTGTCAAATCATATACTGTATTTTTATTTTAGAAATACTTAAAGAACTTATCTCGATTACTTAAATCCCCATGTAACTGATACACAATAGTAACTTCTACACAAGTTTCTCAACAATTAAAACTTCTTATATTTTTTGAAGATTATTCTATTGAAGCCATTTGTTTAATTTTTAGAATATTATAGAGCGATATTATTACAAGCATTATGATCAATATTAATTTGTGATTGAATTTATTTTTATTAAAAAGACGTTATCGGCATATTACTAATATATTTATAAATATTCTGCAAAAAACATACAAAGATTAATCTATATTGTTGAATATCCATCTGTATATTATCGTCGAGTATTGATCGTACACCTTAAATGATCAAATCATGCGATATTATATTGCCTTTGGTATACTGAAAGCAAAAAAGTTCATAACTTAAGGACTTTATAGACACTTAGTAGGTGGAAATAATGAAAACTGCGGGATACAAAAGCCACAAGTATATAAATTTATAGACTATAACTACACATTATACGGAATGCAAATGATTGTAAATTTAAGTATAGTTATACCGAGCTAATTTGATCTCTGCTATTCGTTTATATTCAGTAGGGAGACAGAAAGTACAGTAGAATTCGTTTTTCATCGGCAGAACAAGTTACAAGACAGGTAGTTTATACAATTGAATGGTTCTTATATTAGAATCCCAACAAATGTTCTCACTATCAATGCTTATCAGTTTAGATAATCGAAGCTAGACTTTAGACAACTGGAGTCCAACACGTACATCTATGTGTATTCTGGATACAGCTAAACTAAAATTTACAAATTACAAGTGATGTATCGTATGCACAATTTATAAAAATAACAGTCAAGTGGTATCGATCACGTGGTAATTATTTAAAAAAGGATTCTCCTCATCGATATCTATGATTTTTTGGATATGTTATCAGGAACGTAACTTTAAACGACTTGTTCCTATATATGTAAAACTCCCGTTCAGCCCTAGTTTTTGAAGAAACTTTTGCCTATACATGCGCCACTGCACGAAACTCTCTCCCCGCTGTAGTAGTCGACGCTGCCTTTCATCAACGGACCGATGACATAATAGTGGTACAGACCTCATATCTATAGGTTGTATGTTAAAAAGAGATAATACTGCAATAGTCGACTGGTAGGTAACATGGATTTTCGACTTTTTCCTCTAACTTTCTCCTCTAACAAGAATAATAGTGATTGGTATTGGTACTGGGGGGTGCCTATTCTTTTATTTTATAATTGTTAACAATCCTTTCAGTCTGAATCCGGCAGTTGTTTAATAATTATAAAGTACAATAATGGGCACCACCGCCCCGATTGAGAAAACTACTTCGATCAATACAATACTAATTTATATTATTCTTGAAAGACGAAAAAGTTGATGCAAACAACGTTTTTACAACATCTGTCGATTTTGTGAAAATTAGTGTTACTACCATAGTGTTTGTTTGAAACAGTTCACCCATCACATCTACGAGTCTTGTCCACCGTGATACATTTATAGAAACGGCAGATAAGCAGCCACCGCATGTTGACGCACATTCTACCTCGGCGTGCACGTATAACCACAGTTCT